ATGTGCAATTCTAGTTAATTCTGTTCTGCTTTGATAAATATGTAAGTTGCGAGCTTTTACACGCACAGTGTGATACTTGTATTATTGCCATTTAGAAGTAACCATCTAGCCATTCATCCTCCGTGTAGGGCGACGGCGTTTCTATTCATTGTCTTTTTTCTGCGGGGTTATGTATCATGCACTTTTTCTTATTCAATACCAGGGAAAAAATGTTAAGCTGCTAGTCTCATTCCATGTGAATATTAGAGTTTTTCGAGAACGAGTACAGTACATTTTACTTTGGTCATATATGTTATGATCCATGTATAAGTCCATTATAAGGAAGAAAGTCCATTTTTCAAAATTAGGTCGTTTGCTTAGTATGTGGTTGGATCTTCTCGGTAACCATTAACCAGTTCTATTCATAAAGCCGAAGAGTGCAGTCCATCTGCTGAAGTACGAAGAGCAAATGAACTGATTCGTGTAAGAAACAACAAAATCACCACTGTCAACCATATCAGAAAGGATGTATGTAGCATTATTGTGATTAGTGCGCGGCGCAGGGTGCCACATGAAAAGAGGCTGAAAATGTACATAGCGGACCTTTAAAAATAGCACACTTCAAGATTAGAGAATTATTAGGTTGAAAAAGTTTTATCGTTTCGTTTCGAATTCTCATAACTTGCTCTTATAAGACGTAGAATAAGGCGGTTTGCAAGTTTTAAAGGTCACACATTAACAATAGTCGTTGCCAAATCTACGACAATTCAAAAATTTTCGGAACTAAGTTCATCATGGCAGATTTCAGCGCTTCTCTTCCGTGATTGCTGCAAAACTTTGATGATGTTGATGACCTCATGATATATCAATGTGCCCGCTTGACACCCAGTGAGGGTTAATTGGTGCAACCTTATCTAGTGATAAAGTGGTTGAGCTGTCTCCATACTACCGATAGAATAAAAAGGAAGTTTGATGTTTGGAGATCTCTAGTAGAGTGACCACTTTCAAACACGTTTTTAAGCTGTAGAGTTGACATGGCCAGAGAATCAAAGAATGATTCTTTGTCGTTTTTTTCTTGACAGCACTTTCATGGGGTATTTCGCAAAAAAAGAGCTATGGAAACTTGAGAGATTACGAACGTTATTATAACAGATATAACTGTAAATACCTCACTAGGCTTAACACTTGGCGCCATATTTTAGCGAATAATATATCTTCAATAGATCATTTCAAACTATTATAAATCCTTTGAGCAGCTATCGCTGGAGTGCAAGGGAACATCCGCAATGTTTTCAGATAGTATAAGGTTATTAACTGGTCGACATATAGTCTCCCGCAACTAATTAAAAGAAGTTACGAGTAACAAAAAGACCAGTTTTATAGCAAAACGTTTCTATAATCTAATACTACAGATAAAAAACGTTCAAGCTAGGGAATGAATAATCAGCTAGGCTTTACTAACTCGTAAAAGAATGCAAGTCGTTCACAAG